TCTTTATACCTTTATTCTCATATTTTATATTATTTTATACTATTATAGAAAAACTGTTACAGTAACTTTAAACAATTCAATGACAATAATAAATTTAAAAAGTTGCCTTTTTTTAAATAAATGTTAATTTGCTGTGAAGATTATTTTAGGTTTAAATCTGTTTAACACTTCATTCAACACATACAGTCTGGCTTCATAAGAAGCTTAAATTATTTACAAAAGATTTTCTGCTTTACTTGAACTTGTAAATAACTAATAAACAAAGCAAATGATAGTTGACATCAGAAATAAAAAGCATGTAAAAAAATAGCATGTTCCACACAACAAAAGAAAACAAGACCTTGGCAGCTCTCACCAAAAGCCTAAATATTTAGTTTTTTGTTCTTATTATATGTATAATTTCTTCCCACCACAAAGGTAGATGCATCAAGATTTCTTCAACTCATGGCAGGGGTAATATTAAAACTTGTCCACTAGAGGGAGAGCTGGAAAGGACATCAAGTTTTAGTCCTAAAACATATCCGACAACCCACTGACACAAAAGCACTTCAATGCACTTTGGCTCTATATTTCAAAGCTGTACAGGATGAAGTCAGTTTTTGTGTACATGGAATATAAATGAAGCACAGAGAAGTGAGAGGGTAGCAGCAGCTGATACAAACATGAGATAAATGAGAACAGAAAGGAGGTGGAGCTGTCAAAAACACAAGGACAACCAGTGCTTTCAGTCGTACATACCGGCAGCATCTGGGATGAGACGGCAATGAGAGAGACAAGAGAAAAGCAAGTAAATCTTATCCCTGCTCTTGTTTTAACTGATTTCCTCCTCCTATTGAAATGGATAGAAAGGATCAGAGGGTAGACAGGGAGACGGTTGTGACTATTCTACAGTATAAAGATAAAAAACAAAAACAAAAAAGAAACATCTGCTTGGTTTGAACAAGATAAAACTTCCTAAAACCAGGAAGTTTTCTAACTGACTGAGATTGTGCTGGTTCTGATAGAAATATATGAGAATAAGCAAAGCATAGCAGCAGCAGCAGATCTGTTGATGCTGTTGTTAGGTCTGATTGGCAAGCATCATCCTTTTAGCCATTAATATTTGCAGTAAATATATTTTGTAGCATGGTGAACCTGCTAAAAACAAGTAACTATTGTTTAAAACATTTATTACATCCACTATGTCTGGAAGATAAAAGCAAATAACGTTTCTTTTTAGTCATTTGCTTCTCAAAGCAGGAACATGCAAGCTAAAAGTTTCTGACCAAGAAACAAAAAAAGCATCAAAGGTCTCAAAGCTCTGAGGATCACAGTCAGATTAGGAACCCACTCAATCCACTCAAACCAAAGTAAGCCTGATCTGTGGAGGCTACAGGCTAGTTATTCACTATGGTGTTAGTGGCAAAGCAGCTTTCATGAGACATTCGGTAAAAGCAAAGTCACAAAAAGTCTATCTCTACCTTGGACACTTGCATCAGAAAAACCGTGACTCATTTGGAGTCTGGGTTTTCTAGATTTACTAACGGTTCTCTGAAACATCCTTGCTATAACCCACATCTCTGAGATAACAGTACAAATATAGTCAAAAGAGTAGAACACCCATCATGGTTCCAGATTTAGGATATGCTTGATTTAACTTTGTGGCAACTCTGTGTATTTAAGGCAAAAATTGAGCAGCAATGTAAGCCAAAAAACAAAATAGCTTTGACACATTCATTTCAAATTAATTTAGATAGTATGAGAAAAAATTAATTAGGACTTTAAAAATATGGGGGATGCCACAAGGGAAGTCAAGTTTTCCAGAAAGCAATTATATTAACTTGTTTTGGAATTGATTTAGTTGTCTTTTCCATGAATGAAGCTATTGGAGTTGTGTTTTATCCATGTATCCCTTTTAACATTTAAGTCACAGACATGCAAACAGAAAAAAAAGAGACATTAGCATAATCACACTTTGTATTTCAATCTTGCACATGCATGGCTTTAAATTTTGCAGTGATACTACAATTATATATATTAATGATTCGGTTTAATTCTGCTGCCACACAAACTTGACCAATTAAATTTACTGAGTCAATTAAATTCTTTTGTTACAAAAGTATTCTGTAGTAAAATATACTACAGAATACTGTAGTACTACAGAATATAATACTACTGAATACTTTATGTATGACCAAAGTCATGCATAAAATAATGGCAGTAATTGCTGCAAAGCTGAATAAAGATCTACCAAACCATAAAGTGGGATTAGCTTCATACAAACAGTTCTTCCACTTTGACTAGATCTTTGGTTGATACATAATGCCAGTGGAGTCTATTTATTGCTGTGTACACTTGACTATAAACTTCATTATTATAGTAGCTGATTTTTGTTACACTGTATCTTGATGTATGGACTCAAAACTTTAAAAATATATATTATTTAGTCCGTTGACTAAATAATATATGCACTCTGTAAATTCCAGTGAAGCCGTTCTAAATTACACACCTTACAAAATATAGACCACAGCTGAACTTAAGAAAGAGATTCGTTCTTTCACACTTTTTTTTTCTGAACAGTTATGATGACAGATACAGATCCAAAACAGGGTAAGTTAAACCTCTTAATGATTTGTGCAGTTTTTGATTACTTGCATGTTCTGCCAATATTACTGTCAAATTTCACTGAGTAAAACTTATCCCTGTCTGCTTGTTGCATGTGCAGAGCCTCAAGGAGGAGACGATCCACGCAGTCGTGCCCACACAAGTTTGGTGGTCGTGATGCTTATCGCCATCATCTCGACAATGACCATTGTCGCTTTCTTGATCTACAAGAGATCTCCTCGTCCCTTCCCCACCTTTGACAATCCATTGTACTTCAATGGCGAAAAATCTCAGCCTGATGTGGTCGACACCAATACATTGATCGAGAATGCTGAAGTATCCGATATCTCCCCAGAAAATCCAGAGCCCATTTTAATTCTGTGATTTAGGAGTTTCCAGAAGTTGAAGTTGTGCAAACTAGTCTGAGATAAATTTTGTGTAAACACAGCTATGCTTCAGTATTTTGTTTTTATTGCAAACAATAAATATTCAGTAATTTAACAATAACTGTATTTGTTCTTTCTCTACCTATGACAGAATGTATATATAATTGCTACATGTTAAGCTCTTTTTCTACATGCTGTTTATTGCTTTTACTGTTTGAATGTAAAATGGAGGACACACCCTGTCAATGTTCAAAAAAGACATTAAACTGTTCATGATGATATACTGTTCATTTTTTTTAAATTACATTTCCATATTTGTTTAGGGTTAAACAATGTCAGCACTGTAATTATTGGTTTCTTTAAATGAATTCTGCATAATGATAAAGAAAGGAGGGAGAATGTTTCTTCCCACTGAAATCATGTTAGAGGAAGTCACAAAAACTTGGCATGTTTATATATGGCAGCTCTTTATTTAGTATGACACATTTTCATCAGAAAAGAAGACATTTTCTGTTAAATTCTGTCAAAGGAAATCCCATTTAGACTGAATTTAGTGGAACTTCTTGTATGTTAAAAATGTAAAATGCATATCTTTAAAATACGTTAAGTGTATTTGTAATAAATGGATCCATAATATATGTTTCATGGACTGTACTCCAAGGTAGCACAATAGTGCTTAGTGCCAATATAAAGCAATAACTGTCTGTATGAGAACTACTACAGGCGAATAATACAAAACATTGGAAAAGTTTTAACTTTTGGTTAAAAGATAACACTGAATATTTGCTCCCCTGGATGTTTACAGTGAGTTTATTCCTCCGTTGAAAATAAATGTTCTTGAAAGTGTAAGGCAGTTTTACCTTTCTATTTAATTTTCCAAAATATACGTTCATTGGTAGACATTCGTCTCACAGTACAAATAATCAGAATAGACCAATCACATGGAAGCAATTCAAGGCATTAACAGAAAAGATTTGCTGAAGTTAAGTTCGAATATCAGAATGGGGAAGTAGTAGACAGTAAGATAAGTAGGAAATAAAGTGGCCTGTAATTTATAATGTTAGTTTGTGGATTAGGTTTAAAAGCGATGTCTGAACTGTTTGGTCTTGTCTCAACACAAACACAAGCGCTAACAAAGTATAATCTGAACAACAGACTTCAACTTAAGCCAGAATTACTTACATCCATGGCAAATTTAGGTTTTTTGTATGGAGGGCTGAAAATGACATTCAAAATTTAAAAGAAATAGCAGAGTAAATCAAACAATAAATTTAACTTGTACCCTATAATTGAAAAATAGAAAGCTTTGCCTCTTGTTTTATAATTCAATTCACTTTCACAGCAACTTAAACTGAACTTAATGAAATGTTTTCCAGAGAAGTAAGAAAATAAAATCACAGTCAGCGTTATGAAGACTTCCCTTTTTGCAACTATTTCCCAATAGTTTCCAGACGATTTCTCAAGCTGACTTCTACTATCCATCCACCCATCCATCCATTTTCCGGTTACCCTTCTCCCTAACGGGGTCGTGAGGTGCTGGTGCCTATCTCCAGCTGTGTTCCAGACGAGAGGCGGGGTACACCCTGGACAGGTCGCCAGTCTATCGCAGGGTGTCTTCTACTACATTGGTCTAAATCTTTGTAAACCACAAAATAGATAACATCCATAACTGTCTACGGTTCATTTTGTATGATCCATAATGTATTAGAGACAGTTCTAAATCTAAAACATATAGCTTTCAAAGACTTGAAAATCCTTTAACTTAAAGTCAGTGCAGTTGTTTAAATGCTTGCTCTTTGAATTTTTAGTGACTTTCTATTAAGTTGTTATGCAAGTCAATGAGAAGCACCTGATGTTGATGACAAACGACAGTTGAACGTTTGGTTTTCTGATTAGCAATAGTCTTTCCCAAAAATGTCTTTTGCAACCACAGGAACGCACATTTACATTTACATTTACCATTTACGCACATATTTTCTTGTCTATTGGGATGCAAAGAAAAGGTCATAGGCAGAACATGGTGCAGAGGGTATCTTTCTTCAAATAAATTGCTCTTTCAGATTTCAGGAACTATATGGTAATTACTTGTTTGTCAGAAGCAAACAAACCAGACATGATGCTGACTAAATAGAAAGAATAAAAAAAAAAGAGATGTGATGACGTGGCTTGTCGTGATGCGTCTCCGGATAAAAGCCCCCATCTCTACATCTTGACCAACACAACTTCTAGATTTTGTGTGGACATTACATGGATTAAGCATTCTCCTGGTGAAGAAAGTCTAAGAGGAATCATGAGGAGCACATGTGTTGTCACTGTGCTCCTACTGAAAATGCTACAGTGCCTGGCATTAGATGGTGCAGTATTCCAACTCTTGATTTCAATCTGTTTCAGATTTTTTTAAATAGCAGTAGTTGCATATGGAAATCTGTGTCTAATTATTGCTTGCATGTCTGTATAATATAGACAAAACATTTTCTAATAGCTAGCTACTGAAATATTGATAAGAACTTTTCATTTTTTAACAATTTCTCTTTTCAGATTCACCATTTCAACTTACCAACGCAGCTGGGTTTTGCTTGGTTAAAACGGACTCCATTTGCCAAGAACTACGCTGGACAACTGCTGACCGATTGCTGGTGCCTGGCAAAAATAAATGTCTGGGAGCCCAGGGAATAACTGTGATGAGTGAAGTAAGCCTCTACGATTGTGATGAAACCAGTGAGCTCCAAAAATGGAACTGTACGAATGGAACCATGCTCACCCTCCAAGCAAACACCGAATACAAGCTATTTATTGAGCTCCAAGCAGATAACAAAGCTGTACTGGTGACAACAGCAGGACCCAACAGCAAACTCACGATATCAGGGACATCCAGTGGAGCTTGCACAAGAACTTACAGAGGTATAAACCTGCATTTTTCACAAGATCCAAGTAACTAATTTTAATCTGTATCAATCAGAGTGCTTAATTGCAACTATTTTTTTGTGTTTTTTTATTCATTTTTCAGAACTTTACACGATAGGAGGCAATGCAGCAGGAAGGCCCTGCATGTTCCCTTTCTTTTACGAAAACCAGTGGTACTCAAGTTGCACTTCGACTGAAGCCCAAAATAACTGGTGCTCTGTTGAAACCAAGTACGATCGTCAGATATGGGGCTTTTGCCCATCAAGCGGTGAGTACTGAGTACTTAGTGATATAGTACAGTTAGTGCTTTAAATGCTTATTGTTTTGCCATTTTAAATTAAAAAAGCACTTTATCATTAGTGAATGTTGAGCTGTTTGAAAAAAACATGAGAAAAGCAAAATAACATAAATATGCCACCTCAGGAAATTGGTAAATCTTCAAAAAAGATGCCTCCCAAAGTATGGACTGAGGCTCAACTTGAGCCTCCATACACAGATGTATATTTTCAAGCATACTGATATTTCTAACGGCACTTGCTGGGTTTGAGTTTACAAACTTGAATTATTTCTCTCTGTAGCTAATCTATACAATGTAAATGTTACATTTCTTTGTAGAATTACTGAAAAAAAAACATTTATTTGCTATTTAACCCTTAAGTGGTCACCCTGAGAATGTGTCCAAGTTATCTGATGTCCTCATGACAGAAAAAGTTGTTTTTTATTTTATTTAGTTAGATGAACTTGTATATTATGTTTTGCAGATAAGGACAGCTGGATCAAACATCCAGTAAGTGGAGCATTTTATCAACTGAACACCAATTCTGCTTTGACATGGGCAGAGGCTGAAGCAAGCTGCAAGCAGCAGAGCGCCTCCTTGCTCACCATCAATGACCCCCATGAGCAGGCTTACATAACAGGTTCAACGACTTAGAAGAACTCAGACTGGCAAGAAAATACATGAGCTCTTCATGGTCTTTCTTTTTAAATGTTCTTTTATTTCACCCATATAGTGTTGCTTGAGCCAGAAGGAACCCGCCAAGGATATAAACTTTGGACCGGGCTGACTCTGGATTCAGAACATGGCTGGAAGTGGTCTAATGGGGACCCTTTTCGTTACCTTAATTGGGATTCAGGTAGGATTTTTCAGTCTCATATTTTGATAAAAATCACAAGGTCCACAAATAGCTTTCCTTTAACTCTTCACAAACTTGTGTTGCTTTTGTTCTTGTCATTTATATGCAACAACAAAGTCTCTGGACACAGCGTTGTATTTACACAATCATTTTCTCTCAAGATGAAAAACTAAATTACAAAATTAAACCCTGATGTGAAAAAATAGTTATGATAAGTTACAACATACCTAACATTTTCCATTATGTCGTTTTAGGACAACCAATCACCCATCCAGCATATACCTGTGGAATGATGGATGGAACCGTAGGGTACGCATGGCAAAATTCAATATGCAGCAAGGAATTTGGCTACATCTGCTACAGTAAAGGAGTTCTGGCTTCTCCAACGGCAGGTAAAATAATTTTTACTTGGAGAAATTAAATATGCTTATGATGTTGTGAACTTATATTTATTGCACCTTGTGGTTTACATTCTCCTTTTTGTGTTTCCTGCAATCAGTTCTTAACATGGGATATTGTTCAGCACCATGGGTTCCATACAATGGTCACTGCTTCCAACTTTATCGAAATGCCCAAAGCTGGTCTGGTGCTCAGCAGGCTTGTCGTAAAGACGGAGGCGATCTTGCAAGCATTCGCAATATGGAGGACCATAGTTTTATCACGTCAGAGCTTGGATATGGTACCCTTATTTTCATATCAATCTGTGTTCTGGTGGCTTCTTAGATTGGGGTTTTCTTACACTTGACAAACCATCCAATTGCTAAAATTCAAGCTAACTATTTTGTCTTTTCTTTTAATCACAATAAGGAATTTGCAAACTAAGCACATAAATTAAAGTTTATGAAGTCCTGTAAACTAATGATAGATATTTAGATGTATAACGGCAATTCCTTTATTTATTTCCGCTCTCTACAGCCTCCACTGATGAGCTTTGGATTGGACTCAATGACATTAAAACAGAAGGCCTGTTTGACTGGTCTGACCACACCACAGTTACCTTCACTAGCTGGGAGGTTGGAAAACCACAAACTGCAACAAACCAAAACGATTGTGTTCTTGTCAGAGGAGAGGTGAGAAACATTATGTTCTCTTTTAAATGTGACACATTTGAATCTGGTCTGGTATGGTGAAGCTGGGCCACAAAGCAAAGAACTCAATTTACCAATGCATTTATAGTCACTCAACTTATTGAGATAGGATCCATGATGGTATATGAGCTTCTGACATAGAACACCAACTGTTTCTCTACATAGAAAAAAGTGGAGGTAGTTCATGGATTAGATCTGGTTCTAACCCATTTGGAGATTTTTCTAGTAAATCCCATTGACAGGAGAGCCAGAACTCATTGGAGGTATTACAGTCATTTTGAATAATTTTGAATATGCAATCCAATGAGTCTTGTTTGTCAGATTAAAAGTACCTTTTGACAATAACAACCTATAAGCAGGTATTAAACATACTTTTCATTAACCCAACATTTGTGTTTTCAAAAATAGTTTCATTGCTCTGATGTAATACTTTCATTAACTGTAAGTGGAAAATCATCATAATTTATAGAAATATACACATTCAAACATCCATCTGCATGTAATTAATCTATTAATTTGTTTCACTTATTCATTAAGTTCCTAAAATAAACTAACTTTTCTACATTATTTTGAATGGGTCTGCATAGATCAAATCTGTGCATTTTGACAATTTATTGTAAAAAAACTGTGTATTTTCTTCCTGTAGAACGGAAACTGGGCGGATCGTGACTGTAAGGAGACCCATGGCTTCATTTGTATGAAAACCAGTGCTTCTGAACCCAGTGGGGATGAAATACAACAGGATACAGGTTGCAAAGTTGTGAGTGATTTTTTCCAAGTGTGGAAAAACATTTTTTAAAATATTTTATCTGGCATAAAAGTAAAAGATTTCAATAAAGTAAATAACAAAACAAAACAAAACACAGTTTTCATAAGTGATAGAATTAGAAATGCACAATTGTCAGTTCAATGTTTTGCTGCCTGTTATATTGTTTTGCATCTTGACACAGAAAGAGATTAAAATGTTCTTTTTATTTTTCCTGAAAAGGGTTGGAAAAGATACGGATCCTACTGTTACTTCATCGGAACAGAAAGAAAGACATTTGGAGACGCGAAAGAGGAATGCAAGAGATCAAATTCTTACTTGGCAGATGTTTCAAACAGGTATATAAAATATACATATTTTTACAGGCATGTTAAAAAAAAAGAGCGAGAGAGAGAGGAAGAGAAAAAGAGAGCGAGGGAGGCAGATTTCTAACACCAAAGGGATTTTGTGATACAAACAAGCCATATTTGTTTATAAGAAATATTGCTAAAATCATAAAATACAATTCATTTTCTTGTAATGATAAACAAATTAGGTGACATAAGAAGAAACAACTGGTCCTCTGAGATAAAAAAATGACAATTAAAAAGCTTTAAGTGTATAAAGAATACACATAAAATATTACACCATGTTGTTCTGTATAATCTTAGACCTAGTAGGACAACATAGCAGCAACATCTCATTCATAAAATCTAGCTGTTTAACTAATGTGAAACATACTGTAGCTCTATCTTGTTATTTAAGAAATACCTTTACATTATTGCATCTAAATAGCTCAGTATTTGGGACTAACACACCTAACTTAATCTTTATCTTTAGCTAAATTAACCTATTTTGTAGCTCAAAATCAAATATGTAAGTTAAATAACAAAAATTATTGTGGTAAATGTTTTATTATTTTATTGTCCATGTTTCCAGGGTGGATAATGCCTTCCTAGTCAGCTTGGTGGGCCTCAGATCCGAGAAACATTTCTGGTTAGGGCTTTCAAACCAGAAGAACCAAGATGTTTTTGAGTGGACCAGCACTGTGCCTGTGAGATATACTCACTGGAACAGGGAAATGCCAGGTACAAAACATATATGTTCATATAATGTGTTTGAAAGTAACTTTTAAAATGACAGTTTTTAATTTCTTTGCCAACAAGGGCGCAACCAGGGTTGTGTCGCAATGACCACTGGTAGCACTGCGGGCCTCTGGGACGTTTTGCCGTGTACAAACAGAGAAAAGTACATCTGCAAATATCAAGCAGAAGGGACAGCTTTGACACCTGCACCAACGACTGCTCCCTCTGACCTTTGTGCAGATGGATGGACCAAAATCTCATCAAGATATTTCTGCTTCAAGGTGAAATTTGATATTTTTAATGTATGCACTGCTAAACTGCAGTGATTTGTCAACATAAGTGACGTCAGTTAGAAAAAATGGCTGATTGCAATTGTGATTGTTCTAGGTTTTCAAATAATTGAAACACTAATAATAAAATCCTCAATGGCTGCTTTATTATAATTTGAAACCATGAATTTGCCTTTCTGAGATGAGAGTGTGATTCTTCTCTTTTAACTTGTTTGAGGCAACCTGCACATTTTGTCATATTTTTGATGATGACAGTTAACTGATAAACAAAAGACATCAGAGGATGAACTGCAGTCTGATTGGAGACATCGCATTCACTTGAATTTTGCTCAGTAATAAAATGAGGGATGAATGGACACAGACAGATAACAGGAGGTGAACTTCTTGTGTTTATAGGTATTTCCAGGGAGTTTAGAGACTAAGTCATGGTTTGAGGCCAGGGACTACTGCAGAGCAATCGGAGGAGACCTACTAAGCTTCCACAGCGCTGCTGAGTTGAATTTGAATAAGCAATCATCTAGGTACAGCAGGACTTTATTTATCTACTGCCATAAACAGCAATTTTTCAATGAGTTGCACCACAATGCTTTTTTATGTCATTTTTTTCTTTTTCTTTTTTTTTTGTTTGCCAAATGATCAATATCCCTTTGGTATTTTCTCAGTAATTGCTAATAAGGCTGAAATCACATTATGGATGAGAAATACCATGTAGCATGCTTACATTATAAGCATGCTGCATGCTTGCTTATAAAGGCACATATACTGTAAAGGTATATGAGTCTTTACAGTGAAGCATATTTTTAGGGGTTGTCTATAGCACATGTGTCAAACTCAAGGCCCGGGGGCCAAATCCGGCACGCCGTAGCTTTTTATGTGGCCCTCCACAGACTAAACACTAAGTGTGATTGAATATTATATTATCAATCATATCAATGCAGTTTTTATCTGTTTACTGCCAATTTATATCAATCAATCCCTCCAGTTTCTTGAGAATTTAGTTGATATATGGTTATAGTCCATGATTTATACAGCCAGTAAATAAACAGTCTCATTTATTATTGGTTCCTGAAGGGACTGAAAAAATGTTCAAAAATGTTATGTAATTTTAAGATTTCATTGACATATTAACAGTTTGTGAACAGGTTTTATCAACACATTCTGGCACAGGGTTAGGCAACTCCAGGCCTCAAGAGCCGGTCTCCTGCAACTTTTAGATGTCTCCCTGGTCCAACACAGCTGATTCAAATAGTTGAATCACCTCCTAAACGCAGTCAAGTTCTGCAGAGTTCTGCTAATGACCCCATTATTTGACTCAGGTGTTTTGAAGTACAAACATACATTTATTAAGCGAAGAAAATATATTTAGAGATTAAGCAAGTGCAAAATTTTGAATTTAAGTTAGCAGAAATTCAGAGGCTGGTTGGAGGGACAAAGCCAGCGAAACTAGAGACTCTGAGCCTTTTATAGGAGTGCAGGGAACACGCACACATACTGTATTTGTGATCAGTGGTCTTACAAACCCTGGTCTTTATCCATACTCATCCATATATGGCAGCCTGAGGAATGTGTAGGTCATCCAAAGTACTCTTGTATTTGCTACTGAAACTTAAATATATAATCTGTTTCCGGATCCTACTTCTACAGCAAATATTCAATACTCTGGATTGGACTTAGTGCCAGTGACCAGGGCACTGGTTTTGAGTGGAGTGACGGATCCCCAGTGAGTAAACAGATTGTTTTCTTTACAGGACTTCTCAATCTGTGACAAAACTATTTATGATCTTTATGATCCTTATCATAATGGTTTCCTTAACAGGTAAACTTTCAACACTGGAAAGATGGAGAACCAAACAACAAAAACAATGTTGAATCTTGCATTGAATTCTTTTCAAGCGATTGGGGTCTATCAGGGTCTTGGAATGATAAACAGTGTGAAGCGCCTAATGGCTGGGTTTGTCAGATTCGTACAGGTAAAAGGTGGCTATGGCATACAGTTATATAAAGTTATGCCTAGATACATTGAATGTTACCAAAGTTTGTGTTATAGTTCCCAATTATACCATATATTTTATTTCTGGTGTGCTTTCTATCTATATGTAGGGTTGACTCCGAAGTCACCCCCACCTCCTCCAACTCCAGGTAAGTGAATTATGTAATGACTTGAATACAATAACTCAGTTTTTAAATTTGAAACGTAATAGTCAACAAACTTTCTGGTGGTGATGCTAATAATGGTTGGCAAACCCTCAGACTGTGCGCATATTTTTACTCTGACAAATTGAATATTACTTTTTGAAATTCACAAATCGCAACTGTGTCGTTAAACTGTAATCAGGCTGGGTTTGTCTGGTTCACTTCGGGTTCGGGTTGAATTTTCTCCTTGCAAAAAGAGTTTAAATCCTGAGAAACGCCTTTCTTTACATGTTTACATGTCTACCAGAGTTTCACCTAGAAAAACTGCAAAGCCCTGTGGTGGGAGTGTCATGATGAACCACCAACAGGCCACCATGTTTTTGTAGTAAAAAATGTCAAGTTTAAAGGAAATGTAGAAATATTACTCGGAAATTATAGGTTACTTGTTGACAATATTTATAGAGTCTTAAAAACAACAAACAAAAATTCAATTAAAATAAATAATATAATATTTTTGCACTTCTGTTAAATTCCAAGTAATTAACCAACAGATTTTCAAACTCCAGGTAATGCTGGTCATATTTAGAGCTGACTCCAGGCATACATGAACTAAGCAGCTGCTGAGGCATAAATGCTAACATTTTATCATAGATGTAGAATTTTAACATTTGTTTATTGAGAATGAAAATGTTAGATCTGATTTTATGATTCATGCATAGATTAAAAAAAGGTTTTTATTTTATTTAACATTGAAATTTAAGATTTAAATGTGGTGTAAAAGTTTAATGAAGAATCTTTGTAGTTAGATTGTTGTGCTACCATAGCTATCATCTGATGTGATAAGTTTAATGTTTTCAACAAATTACAATCATCAGTGATTTTTTAAAGCTCTGCCAGTTAATCCAGGGCTACAATCTGCCTGTATTGTATCAGACTTTACTTTTATAGAGTATCTAATGTGCATTATTTGCTATGGCAAATGCACAGATTACAACCGTACCGCTGATGGGTGGCTGGAATGGGGGGGAAATCAATACTTCATTGAAACCCGGAAAAGGGCCAATGACGATGCTCGAAAATCCTGCAGAGAGAAACATGCTGACCTTGTGACCATCAACAGCGAAGCAGAGCGTACTTTCCTGTGGAAACAGGTATGTTTATTCATTATTTGGTATGGCACATTTGCAATAGCTCATTAAGATATAACTACAAAAAACAATAAATCTCAAATTTAGCTTGTCAAAAAGAAATCGATATTCACCAGATTTCAGTGGAATTTTAATTTACTTTATATTAAAAATTATGTGAACAGAGACTCTCAAAATCATTCAGGCTCTTTGAACTTGTTCGCATTTTATCATAAATATATGAGATGTATTTCATTGGGATTTTCTGAGTTAAATTCACACAAATGTTCATGACATTGTGAAACTGAAGAAAAACAATAGACTTAAACATTAAAAAAATAAAAATCTAAAAAGATTAATATTTGTTATAAACCACCCTTTTATTTGTCAGTTTTAAATAATCTTTAAAATGTCTGATCTGCAGATTCCAATTTTGGCCAATCCATATGTTTTTTGTCTGAAAATTTAAATGAAATAGCGATAAAGTCTCTAGTCTCTCTCATGGGATAGTAAACGGTGACAGTGAGGTTTAGGTAGGTATAATTGGTGGATAAGGTCGGTTTTCCATGTAAGTTTTGGATGATCTCCCAAAACTAAGAAAATCAGTGGTAAGCATTTTGTAAGCATTTTTGCATCTCTGCCTCAAGTTAAAAAGCACCTGAGATTGGACTGTAGATTTATCTCTCAGCATGAGAGAGGAGAGCTAAAATAGCTTACAGCATGTAATTTGTTTTGCCCTGGCTCAATAATAGATGAGACCTAAAATCCATGACCCAGGATTAAACATTTCTTCCTACACACATTTTTACTGTGCTATTTTATAAAAAAGAATGAATTCCTCATTTGACTGAGCTAAATGATGAACTTAATGAATTGCCCAAAAAATTAGATGATATGCAGCAGGATTAGAATTGTATTTGCCTTTTGCAAAGTTCACTGAAGTTCACAATGTTATGAATTTACACAAGTTATTCACTTCTGAATTTCTTGTTACATTTCTCTTACATATTCTCCTGCACTCATAAACTAAAATGAGCCTTTGTTTGAGTGTAGATATCCAATCATTCTGATTCTTTCTGGATTGGACTAACTGTGGATCTTGACAAGTCATTCCAGTAAGTTTATGTTCCAAACATATTTGGGAAAAAATGAATATCTGTTTGCAAGCTTTCTTTCAAAGCATTATAACATTATAATGGTAACAGAGCAGATTAATGGATTAGTGTATTTTTCTTTGCATACTTGACCTCGTCTTTTCTTGCTTTAAGATGGATGGATGGTTCTCCAGTGATTTATCAAATGTGGGATGAAGGACAACCTAATTTTATTAATTTTGATGAAAACTGTGTTGTCATGAAAACGTTCAATGGTGAGTAGATAACTAAATGAAAGTAACTGAAAAAACTATTTTATATGTGTTGTTAGAATATGAGCCTTGATAATTTGGGAACATTTTAATAGGAATGACCGTGATGTAATCATTAGATCTTACATGATTTGAAGTTTGACTTCTACGGTGATTTACTTTTTTCTTGTGACTAAAAAGAACTTTTATTATTTTGTCCTTCTGATTGCATTTTTTAGATAATGAAGTAAGATAATAGGGTATTGTAGAAAAATGGTTCACCAACTTTTACTCATTCAAAAAATATAGACAAAACTAAGACCAGGGGAGGGATATGAACTATTAACAAAATAGTTATTATTATTATAATGCAATAATAATACTATTAGTACTTTTTTTATTTTATCATTTCACATACATCTACACCCATAGATTTTCTTCTTACTTAATGTATTTTTATTTTAAGGGCCAGTACAGAAAGGTTCAAATGAGAATAATGAAGAAATCAGAAAAATTAAACAATAAACAATCTGTAAAGATATGTAAATATGAATACTTTGGTAAATGTCACCAATCCCTATGTATATACACACAAAATTGTGAAATGCATTTTGTGGCTTCCTGACTAATCATTTATGGTTTCACAGGGTTCTGGCATGATTACAACTGTGGATTTGAATTCGGCTCTATTTGTAAGCGCAGTAGCTCACCTCCTGTCAATGCCACGGTGGCTCCTACAGTCCCACCTCAAGGTAACTGCAAAGAAGGCTGGAAGAGGATCAACTCCAAGGTGAGATTTGGCAGCATTTCAGTTTTATACCTTGAGAATATCTGAGAATATCCTTCTGTTGGAGCTAGATCGAATGCATTCGGTTGGAATATACACAAATTGTAACTTAATTTCTTATGGCTCAATTTCAGTGTTACAAGATCATATATAGTAAAAAAGTAACATGGTTCAATGCAAGGCAACAATGTCAAGAGATGGGAGGAAACTTGGCCTCTATTCCCTCAAGACATGAGCAAGGTTGGTTTTCTCATGACAGTTTTGAACATTTACTTCAGTTCAAGTTATTTGCTACAATACATTTACCTTAGTATTTTGCTAAGTTTTCTAGTCATCAGCCTTGCTGTAGTTAGGCTTTGTATTTGACTACTAACCACCCTCACTAGAAATATTGTTTGCAGGTCTAAACATGATTAAACTGGAATGCAAAGTGATGGGAATTTCCATGCCAATCAGAAAAGCCAGAAATTTATTATGTTATTGATTTGAAATTGTCTGGGACTTTAACGACTGTTTTCTGTTTTCAGTGTTTTTAGTGTCTGAAATGGCGAACACACCAAATAGAAACCTGTGGATTGGTATTCATAGCTCGTATGGCAATGGGTTTTACTGGACCGATGGACGGCCAAAGTCTTATGTCAATTTTGATATTTCTGTAAGTTAACATTGTATGTTTGTGTTGTCAATTTGAAAATGTTATTACTCAAACAATTAATTAAATATAACATTTTGTGTTATGTTTTATTAGCGAAATAGGCATTCACCCTTTACACACCGTTTATTATAGTAATATAAAAACATTCATCTTTCTTTGTACAAAATCAGTAGTTTTACAATTTGTCAGAATCCTTTTGATGAAGACGTAAGTAATTCTTAGATTATTTACGTTTGAATACACAAAAACCATTCCTTTTGCTAGTGAAACAAGCTTCGCTCTGACCCACTGGCAGAAAATTATGTCCTAATAGTGAGGGCTGGTCTACCAGGGACTGAATAAAGAAAATGTGACTGAATAGATATGATCTCTCCCTGTAATTCTGATCACATCTCCCTCAGTTTTCCCCTGCGGGGAACAAAAAATATTCTCTGATTCTGAGGTGTACAGATTATAATAATCTTAAAATGTTGCTTTATTTTGCAGTTGTATATTGCATTTCGAAACGAGGTGAGTATTTTCTAAAATGTAATTCTTACCATTTTACACTTAATTACCATCTTTTTTGATCTACATTTGCTGGGTTGTCATTTCTAACAGAAAAAATGTGCTGTGATCAACGGTAATCCTTCATATGGACTTGGAAAATGGATACCTAAATCCTGCAATGACACCAATGGATTTATTTGTTTAAGTGGCTTACGTAAGTCATTTAACGTGGTTCCTGCTGATGGTTTTCAAAACAGTAAAATTTTCACTTACTTGCATACTACACCTTTCTGTCCCACTTTCAACCTTCAGTCCAGGTCTAGTTTATTTCTCTCTACTAAAAAACAGCAAATGATTAGTAAAATTGCAATAAAATTTGCATAATTAATACTTGTAAATAGGAATCCATAGTTGTGAATTGATTTGTGTAACCTTGTAAAGAGAATTTTTTTTCTTTTCTTTGGCTGATTGGCCAATCACAAGAACTTTTTATAACCATTTTGTTTGCACAATCCTTCTACTTTGCTCCAGATGTCCAATTTTACTTAGGTGGTGAAGTTACTTTTAAGTTAGATATTTGACAGATATTGCCCTTATGTCTCACTACAGTCAGCAATGGCTTCTCATGCAGTGTGCTGTCACAGCATGAGATACGTCACTTGGGAAGACTCACTGTACTTATGCAGAATGCATTGATTCAATAAAAGACCACCAACAAATTCCAGTTGGTAGAAACACACAAACAGCAAGACCTCAAACCCTAAACTCAAAAGCTTCCAAGTGACCCAAAAGTGATACTGAATTATGTTACTACTCTACACTACTGAGATACACCTGATTCTATGAGATTCTATGAATCTCCTACTGAACTTTTCTGTAATCTTAGTGGATCGTTACATTTTTAATTGACCTAGCATTGACCAATCAGCTGTAAAATTTAGTACCTGCAGGTGGAAACTCACACCAAAGCAAGAGAGTTTTTTATTTGCACCAGTAAAAAAAATATTAACTAAAAGAACTTGAGTAATTATTTTTTACAAATACATTTTTTACACAAATTATTTTCTAAGGATGCACAAAAAATGTTTCTCCATTTTATTTTACAAGGTTACACAACTCATGCATTCTGATTACAAGTAGATGGTATTTATTTATAATCATTTCTATTTAAATCTATACATTTTTAAATGCACATTTTTGCAATGACATAAGTACTATGATTGAAAACTAAAAAATTATTACTTATCATTTCTATTCTTAAACAGAATCAGATATATCTGAAACAACTAAACCACCAAATCCAGAGAATTACTTCAAAATCCTAAATGATTCTATCAAGCTTGTCACCCAGCAAAAGAGTTGGTCTGATGCTCAGAAGACCTGTGAAGCTGACGGTGCCAAGCTGGTCAGTGTACGGAGTGAGTGGACACAGGCTTACATTGAGCTGCTGGCTTTGAATCTTAAACGTCCTCTGTGGATTGGACTCAATAAAAACCAGGTAAGGTCTTTACAGCCTCTAAAAGCAAACATTTATTCTAGATTCCATTCAAACATATTAGATGTAATGCTTTCATAACAAAATGCTCACAGGGAATTGGCGAAATGCAAATTTTTACAGGTACAAGACCTGTCTGATGTATTAAGTGGAAATATGAATTTCAGTTTGATCAGTTGAAAAATGTTTAACAGATATTTTAGATATTTAACAATGTTTAGCCCTTTTTACCAAATTACACTGAATGTTTCTCAGCCCTGTTTTATTTTCAAAACAAGATATTTGTGGATTATCTGTGTAACCAACGTTTACTTAACACAAAAGATTAGGTCATTGAGCCATATGTATTATCTCTTTTTTATTTTTTGGATGTTTTTTTTTTTTACTTTCAGACTAATAACTACTTCCAATACATAGAAGGCTGGCCATTACTTTTCACCCGCTGGGATTGGAATGAACCACGTATAGGGGGAATTTGTGTTTATGTGGATGTTAATGGAAAATGGAAAACCAGTGATTGCAATCACAACTTCGGCAGTGTTTGCATGAAGTCCACAGGTGAAGGCAAACTAAATATATTCTAAATAAACATATAAGCAAAAACATCCCTTAATTTGCTTAAATCTGCATTTTACTGTTTAAATTTTCTTCTATTTTGCTATGTAATGACAAATAAATTTTAATAAAACGTTTTTCAATTATTAAATAAGTAATTTGTACCACTGTTTATGTAATACACAGACACACCGCCAGAAGTTAAATCAGACGATTATCCTGGAATTTGTCCAGAAGACCCATATCCAGGTAGGACTGGATACGGGGCTTCTCTGCTTTCATATGGCCGAAGTCGGTTGCAGACCTGGAAACCTTTCAGAAATTTTTGCTACCTATTTTTCTCTGAAGAGAAAGAGTGGCAAGATGCAACTACTAGCTGTCTGTCACATGGTAGGTGTCTTCTGTGAAAAATCCTTTCTGTAGTAGTGAAAATTGATTTTGCATTCACAAAAAATTAACTATTGGTGTGTTCTGTGAAGGTGGAACCCTTGCCAGCATTGGAGATCCCTGGGAACAGGATTTCATACTTAATAACATTAAAACATTTCAAAACTCATATACATCTTATTGGCTGGGCCTGTTCAAAACTACTAAAGGTAATGAACATCACAAAAAGGCAGTGTTAAAGGAAAAATTATCTGAACATGTGTCTTCTATGTTTTACAAAAATAATTTTACACTGTAAAATATTTGAGCCACATTTAGTTGTGTCTACTGTCTTCTACTCAGTCAATTACATTTAGCGAGTTTTAGATTTTGAACCTACATGTGTGAGTTTGTGAAATATAAACTTACTGTAGTAAGTTGTGTCAACTTTTTTTATGAATCTTTTCAAACCTCTAAGTTTTTAATTTAGCACTTATAAAAACTGCAAGCGGAAAAAGACAGGAGTGGGAACTGTTTCCCAGAATGCTTAGCAGCATGTCTTTTTATCCCGAGATGGAATTGTGTTAGATTGATCTGAGTCTTGTGTTTTATTAAGGAAAATGTCTATTTTCAGCAATCCTTAGCTTACAAAGCTTGAGGATAATGTCCTGTTCACACTGAATATTTGAGAGCAGAATGCACCGTAATGTTTAATGAAATTTATCACCAGATCAAAAATTTTGTTCATGCAATTTGAAGCAAGAATTTAAATTATTCTAAAGTAATTATTTAACCATTTAGCTAATTAAGTAGTTAGCTAAATAATTTTGTGTTATTGTGAGTGAAAATAATAGAGAAATGTGTGCTCTTTAACTAGATGAAGACAGTTATTTTTTTCATATTGTGAAATAGTTTGATTTAAATTGCAGCATTCAGTTAAAAATCACAATTCAAGACCAATAAACTTAAAAAACAATGTTTATGAACTTTACTTTCAGAATTAAAACCAAAATAATTTTCATGTTTACTGAAATTGCATTTTCAAGGCACCTTCAAATGTTTTACAATGTATTTGTGTAATTTATTATTTATTTCTATTTTTAAACATTTTAGTTATTCCATAAATTACAGCAAATAATAAAATAAATATCTGTCTATCCCCAGGAGAATGGATGTGGTTGGATAAGACGGTCATGGATTTTGAAAACTGGCAAGAGTATCCGATTTACTACTTCGGCATGATTAGTGTATCAGACGGGAAATGGCATACAGGGTATCGATGGCAAAACAGACCATACATCTGTAAAGCAGCCAAAGGTAAAAACTTTACAATGAATTAAATCTCAACTATCAAAATCACTTCAATAGCATTTCAGACAGTTCCCTTGCTGTAGTAAAAAGATCGTAGTGTAATTAATTTTATTGTCTTTGGTCTTATATTTTCTTTACAATGTAAACTTGATATTTACACTGTATCAAATGAAATATTTCTGGTACATTTCCTCAGTTTTTTAAACTTTGTCCATTTGTTTGACTTTGTTAAAGATCATATTGATACCTCTTTCATTCTTTTGAGGAAAATAGCTGCCTAACAGCTGACATTTCACAGTAAAAGCCACATAGACAAACATGGTCCTCTCAACATTACAGTGCAAGTAATTTAGAATTTGTTAGCAGCATGCAAATAATTTCTACCAATTAAAAAGAAACCAAATCTGCAACATTTTTTGATAAGGTTTTCTTTTTCTTTCCAGTGTTACCTCCAAAGCCATCACCCAAACCAAGTGAGTCATGCTTTCATCTTTTTCTATTTGGAATTTTTTTTTTCTTTCTCTTCATCTTTTTTTTCTCTGCAGATGTTGCCATTGATCCTCAAGGTCGGGGTCACACAGCTTTAGTAGCTGTGTTTGTCATTGCTGGGATTGCAATGGGAGCAGGTATTGCTTTCTTCCTGTTCAAGAAGTCTGGTCGTCAGATGACTCTCATACCAATCCCTGGAGGGTTAACGGCCTTTGACAACCCGCTTTTCAGCAGCAACCAGTCACAGAAAAATTTGGTGGACACTAAAAAACTGCTGGGGAACGCAGATGAAGATAACAGTCAACCTGTAATAACTATATAATTGTAAAAGACAGCAGATGGTGCATGGACGTATTCTCTGTTATGGCTGCTTAGGATCAATGTAAATGCAAAGAATGATTTATACAAGAAGATGGTGTAACAATTAATTAACTGGAATGTTGATTCAAGTAGCTTGGATGTATATTGTATTCTAACTACTGCAAAAGTTTAATTGCCTACTGAGAAAGAAGACATGAACACTCTTTGACTCAAAGTAGTCATTCATTTAGAAATGATGCAACACCTCTCCAAATATTATTGTTAGAAAAATGTGTTTGCAAAAAGGATCAAACAAGACAGAATTCACAAAAGGTAGAAAGTCTCTATAGATGTTTGCTTGTAATTCAATTCCCAGCATGGAGAAAATGCAAAGTTATACAGTTGGTAGGTCAGAGCATTCTCTGACTAACAAAGGAAGTTATCTTGCTACACTTCCTATGTGATTTGTGCAGATGTAAGGTGTTTTTTTGCAGTCCTGCAAAAGCACTTAAGACCATTGGTTTCTTATCTTTGCTGACAGTCCTCCAGTAGGAAATGAACTTATGAACTTAGCTTCCTTGCATCTTTAATGTTGCAATGTGTAAGTTTCACTTCAGCAGTCAATATGTAATGTTATTCTGAAACCAGGATATGTCTAGAAGCATAAGGTCAAAAGGCACCAAATGAGTAAATGATGAATCAAGTGAATGTGATCAATAAATGACAATTAACAAGTATTTTTTCCAACAGTTACAAAAACAATCATTGCAAGAGATTATACATTTTGAAATACTGATGTTATATGTTGTAATATTTACAATTGATTGAAAAATGACTTATGGGAAAGTATACACTTAGCAATAATTATTGTGAAAGCCTTGTCCTGCCTTTGCGGCCAGTATGTTCCTACTAGTATTGGTAAAGAGGAATAATCTTTGGAGAGGTTTTAAGTGTTTGGAGCTCAGAAGGACTTCCTGCCATCACCCTAATCTTTAGCTTCCTCCACAAATTCTTTGTTAGTTTTATGCAACAAATCTTATTCCACTTTGAAACATTAATATGTAGAGAAAAATAAAAACATTGCTTTAGATCTATATTTGACATGGTAATCAGTTATATTATGCTTAACAAGAGAAATCCATCAATATTTTTGATGGATTGAAGCTCAGGATGATTTAGGATGATTATCTTAGCAAATAAATATGTTGTAAAAAAAAATCTAATTAACAAAACTTCCTGTCAACTTGTTGCTTTGGTAAAAAAAAAAAAAAAGTAAATAAATAAAATGGAATTTGCTAGTAAAGCTATTCATTTTTTTTGTTTTATTTTCATTTTTACAAAGTTGGCCATTTTGTATAATAAGTGGGATTTATATAGAAGGAATTTCCCTGATTTTAAATGTGTCCGAATGATAACTTTGATTATTTTCTTGACTGTATAACTTTGATTATTTTCTTGACTGTATAATTTTATTGATAAATTAGATCTGTTTTGTAAAGTGCCTTAAAATGACCTTTGTTTGAAATAGGCCTTATATGAATAAAATAAAAATGAATGAAAGTGAATTGATGTAATTTGTGAATTCAAATTAAATTGGAAGTAAAATGCTTTGGCGCTTGGACTACGGCAGAAGATGTGTGTGCTGAGAATCCAAAACTTATGGTTCAGATTCTAACTTCCTCCTGCCACATGTTGGTGTCGGGCAAAGCACTGAACTCAAAGGTGTTTGAGGCAGAGCAGCTCAATTTTTTACAGATTAATTGTCTCCTAGTATGTCACACAAAATAAAAAAATATATCTATATATTATGTATTGATCTAAACAAGTAACAAGTTATAACAATGAAGAAGCTGGTTTCCAAAGTGAGCCAGGGCAGCTTTGCTCTACAAAATTAATATCTGGAAATGGTAGCTATTAACAGAAGTTTATATTTGACATCATATTAGACAGATGAATAAATAAAATATTAACCTTCATCCATCTGCGTTACTTGCGTGAGTGTCTGTCTGTGTGTGTTAATTTATCATCTGGGATAACAAGACGTTTCAAATATGAAAAGAATTGAATCATGCATCTCCCCAGTGGGCAGCCTTGAAATGAATCACAAAGAAGTTCTTTTTACCTGGACAAACACTTTCAGTGTTTTGGTGATCCCGGTGTACCCTCTCAAAATCTGAATAGTTGCTTTTCTTTGAAAATAATCATGGAAATTGTTTTGTTCCTTCATTGTCTTCATTGTCTTTCATTTATTTATTTTTTGTTTGTTTTTTAAATTAAAACTCAGCAAGAGCTATTATAATGCTCAAAGTGTTTCTTGGACAACACAACACACTTGAATGTGAACTTTAAGCATTAACTGAATCAAATGAGAAAATCAGAAACTGGGTTTGAGAAATTAAAAATGACAGTCAGCATTCTGAAGACTTCCTTTTTGCAAGTTTTGCAAAAAGGAAGGATTTTAGTTACCTAAGGCAAAGTGATTTGATTTACTATTAAATTGTGCTGTGCACATTAAACCGCAGTTTGACTCATTTCCTGTTTTTTTGGATTTTTTACGTCAGATTAAAAAAACAGAGAAATTGTGAAAAGCTTAAGACATTTACTCTTATGGTGAGTTTATAAAAATGTGCCTTTCTGGATTTATTTCAGTGCTTTGTTTTGTTGTGTTGAGTCCTGCATTAAATTTAGGATGATTATCTTAGCAAATAAACATGTTGTAAATTATTTCAAGTTATTAAATAGGTTAAATGTTTTTTTTTAATAATCACACTGAAATACTTGAAAATGCGTTGATCTGATTTTAATCAAAAAATAAATAAGTATGAAACAAGTCTATCAGAATTCTGACTTTAAGGAAAAACTTGAAAAGGAGATTTAGTGACGTGTTGCAGCGGAATAAGTCAGTGACTAAATCCTTCCCTTTTCTGAAATCTCTAACATCACTTCTACATTTTCTGCAGGCAACATATGGATTAAATGCTCAGCTTTGGGGCATTTTAAAGGTTCATAATGCATGGCTTGTATGTGATCCTGGGGCTTCCTTTTACACATTTCCATTCATTGGAGTCAAATGGTACAGTATTCCCACTTTTGATAGCAGGATTTTTGTGAGTTTCTGTTAAAATGCATGGGTCTAAGCTTTGGTTTCAACCATTGCACATGGATATTTGAAACAGTTTAACACCAGAATATTTTTTAATCAGCTACTGTTATTGAATTGTAGACTTTTTTTTCCCCTATTACTTATTTTAGTTACTCATGGAACTGTTTTGAACAATTTCTCTTTTGAGATTCACAATTTCAGCTTACCAACACAGGCACAGAATTTTGCTTAGTTAAAGCTGGCAGCAGGTGCGACGACATACGCTGGACAACTGGCAATCGACTGCTGGTTCCCAGGGTGAATAAATGCCTTGGAGTTCAGGGAAAAAGTGTCGGGAATCAAGTAAGCCTGTACAACTGTTATGAAACAAGTGAACTCCAAAAGTGGGAATGTAAGAATGAAACGGTGCTTGCCCTCCAAGGCCAGGAGCTTTATATGGAGCTTAGAGCAGATAACCAAGCTGTACTATCAAAATCAATGGGACCCAACAGCCAACTCACCATTTCAGGGATATCTAGTGGAGCTTGCACATAACCTATAGAGGTAGGAGACTCTCTTGCTGTTTTTCTTTATTGTTCAAGGCAGAGTGGTCTATTGTGATCTTACTGTTTGTTGTAAGGCTCAGTATTTCTTTAATTAAAAGGATTTAAGTGTGTTCATTTAATCAATGAGAGTCAATGAATGGTTCCATCTATGCCCTCATTTTATAAAGGCTGCAGTGCATCGTTTATTTTCTTTGTCTCCTCCAAATCTGATGTGCAATTCTTACAAGAATTCATGAGATGTTAAATTTTTGTCAGTAACTGTATATGGTAAAATCCAATGCTTTTAAATTACAAAAACTGAAATAAATATTGGAAATGCTTCCTATAAATGCATGAATAATGCTTTATTGAGTTGTAATTTGCTTGGCAACATACTTTGACAAGCAAATCCCCCTTTGATGGTATGAATTAGAATTTGTAGTTTGCTTCTATTTTTGTGAAAGATAAAGTGAATTAGGCTGTGTGGAGAGAACACTGTAGTGTTAAAGAGTAATAAACAGTATGAAAAAATAGTGTACATTCAAAAATGACTGTTTCACCTATGAGTGCATTATAAAATGGGAAGCATAAAACTGCATCAGCTTGGGAGTAGAAACATGTCAGTCATCCATGTAAGAATCTTTGTGCCACTGACGTGCTTCTCTGTCTCTGATTCGATCCCTGTCGCTCTCCCTGTCCTTGTATCTGTCTCTGTCCCGATCTCTGCCCTGGTGGTGGTGGTAGTTGTGATGGTTGTGCGCAGGTGTAACAGAGTTTATGTTGTAGAATCCCACTTGCTTTATATATTATCAGTGCAATGGGAAATAGCGCCTCCTCTCTGTGTGGCTGGTTATATGTTGCTGGCCCCTGTAATCAGTGCCAGTCTATGGAAGCTGCACACAGCACGGAAAAGTGTTAGAAACACATAAAATATAATTTGTAATAACTTACATCAATAGTGTGCAACTACTATTTATGATTTGTGTGCCTGGCACCAATTTTGCACTTTTAGTTTTGTCAATATTGTAAAACACTTTCTGTGCTAAGTTAAAGTCAACGTGATGCTCTGTTGTAGTGTGCTGAGGGAAGCTGAACCATTGCATTGATTCCAACCCGATCTGTTCTCATTCAGGTACATCATTTATTATTGTATTTTTCATTGAATGTTAAAAATATTAATGTACTGTAATCAGTGCCAGTCTATGGAAGCTGCACAAGAGTGTGCTGAGGGAAGCTGACCCATTGCATTGATTCCAACCCGATCTGTTCTCATTCAGGAAATAAACTGCCTGTTCACCCAGAACTCCTGGTCTTTAAAAACATCTACACAACGCAGAGTCGAGGGGTTACTTGGGTCGGCCTGGTACAGTGGAGTGAAGCAGAACCCGGTTACACAAGATAGAGGTCTGCATGGTGTGTCCGTGTTGGGATATGCTGGTGATGCCTCTGATGTCGGTTGTGTTCGTTGTGCTCCTGCTCGTAGCCTTCCCTGTCATGCAGCTGGCCACGATGGCGTATGTGATGATGGTGATGATGGTGGTGGTTGCTACTGTGGTGGTGATGGTTATGTCCCCGGTGGTTGTAGTGTATTTCCTCCTCATCGCCCTCCACCACCACTTCCTCCACCTTGTCCTCCCTCTCCTCATACAGGGGTCTCCTTGGAGGCCTCTGGCTGTAATCTCTACCTGACTTTGCATTCACGTCACCAGATATTTGGCTGTGCTGTGCGTGGCTGTGGTGTTCCATCCGGCGGTGGCGGTGGTGGTGGTGGTGATGGTGGTGGGTGTGCTGCGATCTTTTTGGTTCTGTCCTCAGATGTCGCTCCTCTTCTTCCTTTCTTTGGCCTTTTTCAACTCTGTCCTCCTGATGTGGGGCGGGTGGGGTCTCCTTGTCTGGGTGGTTCTCATCTGAACCCTTCCTCTTGGAGGCAGCCTGCTTCTTACTCTTCTGCTCATCCTTAAAGGAAAAGGACCAGATGAATATCATTTAACTAGACACACAAAAAAATTAAGTAACTTGCAATTCCAAATCACAGAGACGATGTGGAAAGATCAATGTGAACAATGAAAACAATGTGAGGAAGATGGTGACAAATTTTCAAAATGATAAGATGGATAATTTTTATTTCCAGCTCAAATGTAAACGTTGACCTCGATTTCTTCTGATTTGTTTAAAAGAACAAACATTCTTTTGTAAACGTGTTTAAACTATGGTTAAATCCTCACATGAGTAGAAAACCGAGAATTTCAGTTGCTTCCATTCACTGTTAATAGTTTACATAACCGCTGGTCAGCTCACTGAGATAATCTATTCTGGTGACAATGGCTGTCATTATGTGGGCAGGCTTAAATAAAATTATTTCGATCAAGCAGTCATCTAACTATAATAGGCTACAAATTACAGACATTACATAAAATCACGTATTTGAGGTTCCACATTTTTCCATAACTAAAAAACGATAACAGTTATATTTCAATAACTTTCACTCACCAGTTGTTGGCCTATTTCATTTCTTCTTCAACTTTGCATAGTAATAGGATGAGAAGACATGAAATTAAATGTTAGGTGGACTGGTGGAAACATACAGATGAAGCAAAAATAATGTTAAAAAAATCTAAAGTTTCTCTAAATTTAAACAAATATCTGTACACATCACATGAATGAGATGAAGTTTGATGAAATGAGGTGATATAAAATAGTATTTTTTATATTTCTGTATGTTTTCACTGTATAAATTGTGTTTTATGCACCGGTACTGTTGCTGGAGAGGCAGGCAATGTGTTCTCAGCCAGCTGTGCTACAAGTGCATTTGAAGGCTCCATCTCTGGCGGATGCGTTGCTTTCCAGTAAGATTCAAGGTAATCCGCGATGTGCTCACAGGCATCAGTAAGCTGGTTCTCGTCTGATATGACATCAAACATTTCCTACAGACAATAAATGGTGAGAAAGAAATAGAACAAACATGAACACCTGGATGCATTGGAGAGCATATTAAATCTGTGTTAGGATGTTTAATGAAGGAGTAAGTTTATTGAAAACTATAGCTGTAGTGTGTCAAAAACTATTTAGAAAAATTAAATCCAGAAAAATTAATACTGCAATGAGTAGAACTTCACTGGTGGTCAATTAAGGCTGGATTTAAGACTGATAAAAAAATCCCTCAAAAAACAGGATTTGTTATTTTACTGCATGTTAAGGCTACTCAGCATTGATTTTAACAACGTATCAAACTTGCGGATTAAAAAATGACTTGACATCATAGTGACATTGTAGTTGTTAACAATTTCCAGCAGATGGCGCTCACCGGCGGCTACTGGGCCAGTTTGTCTGCTGCCACAAGTTGGACGTTAAGATGTTTGGTTTGAGATTTTCCTCTCGTCTTGATAAGTCTTGTCAGCATCTACACAAGGCAAAATAGAACACAACTTTAAAAAAAAGTAAGTATCCAGTTTTTTTTGACCAATACAGGGCAAAAAGTACAGATTTAGAGAAATGCATTCTATCAGGATGAATGACTGATGAAACCTACTTTTGGTGAAGATATCTTCACATAAACAAGAATTGGAGCAAGCGAAGTCTTGGACACTTGCAGTGGATGATTAATTGTGTCTGCATCCAAAATGACAAGCTGCATGCTCCGGGCCAGCTCAAATATACGCTCCACCTCCCCTTGGATCTGGGCTGCAGAAACAGAAAATGTAAACTTCCAACTCTAAGACAACATAAAATATAGATGATGTAACAAGATCTCCCTGGAAAACCCTAAATATGACAGCACACATATTGAGACTGGCAACAGTAGGAATGTTCTAGATCTTTATACCTTTATTCTCATATTTTATATTATTTTATACTATTATAGAAAAACTGTTACAGTAACTTTAAACAATTCAATGACAATAATAAATTTAAAAAGTTGCCTTTTTTTAAATAAATGTTAATTTGCTGTGAAGATTATTTTAGGTTTAAATCTGTTTAACACTTCATTCAACACATACAGTCTGGCTTCATAAGAAGCTTAAATTATTTACAAAAGATTTTCTGCTTTACTTGAACTTGTAAATAACTAATAAACAAAGCAAATGATAGTTGACATCAGAAATAAAAAGCATGTAAAAAAATAGCATGTTCCACACAACAAAAGAAAACAAGACCTTGGCAGCTCTCACCAAAAGCCTAAATATTTAGTTTTTTGTTCTTATTATATGTATAATTTCTTCCCACCACAAAGGTAGATGCATCAAGATTTCTTCAACTCATGGCAGGGGTAATATTAAAACTTGTCCACTAGAGGGAGAGCTGGAAAGGACATCAAGTTTTAGTCCTAAAACATATCCGACAACCCACTCACACAAAAGCACTTCAATGCACTTTGGCTCTATATTTCAAAGCTGTACAGGATGAAGTCAGTTTTTGTGTACATGGACTATAAATGAAGCACACAGAAGTGAGAGGGTAGCAGCAGCTGATACAAACATGAGGTAAATGAGAACAGAAAGGAGGTGGAGCTGTCAAAAACACAAGACAACCAGTGCTTTCAGTCATACATACCGGCAGCATCTGGGATGAGACGGCAATGAGAGAGACAAGAGAAAAGCAAGTAAATCTTATCCCTGCTCTTGTTTTAACTGATTTCCTCCTCCTCTATTGAAATGGATAGAAAGGATCAGAGGGTAGACAGGGAGACGGTTGTGACTATTCTACAGTATAAAGATAAAAAACAAAAACAAAAAAGAAACATCTGCTTGGTTTGAACAAGATGAAACTTCCTAAAACCAGGAAGTTTTCTAACTGACTGAGATTGTGCTGGTTCTGATAGAAATATATGAGAATAAGCAGAGCATAGCAGCAGCAGCAGATCTGTTGATGCTGTTGTTAGGTCTGATTGGCAAGCATCATCCTTTTAGCCATTAATATTTGCAGTAAATATATTTTGTAGCATGGTGAACCTGCTAAAAACAAGTAACTATTGTTTAAAACATTTATTACATCCACTATGTCTGGGAGATAAAAGCAAATAACGTTTCTTTTTAGTCATTTGCTTCTCAAAGCAGGAACATGCAAGCTAAAAGTTGCTGAGCAAGAAACAAGAAAAAGCATCAGAGGTCTCAAAGCTCTGAGGATCACAGTCAGATTAGGAACCCACTCAATCCACTCAAACCAAAGTAAGCCTGATCTGTGGAGGCTACAGGCTAGTTATTCACTATGGTGTTAGTGGCAAAGCAGCTTTCATGAGACATTCGGTAAAAGCAAAGTCACAAAAAGTCTATCTCTACCTTGGACACTTGCATCAGAAAAACCGTGACTCATTTGGAGTCTGGGTTTTCTAGATTTACTAACGGTTCTCTGAAACATCCTTGCAATAACCCACATCTCTGAGATAACAGTACAAATATAGTCAAAAGAGTAGAACACCCATCATGGTTCCAGATTTAGGATATGCTTGATTTAACTTTGTGGCAACTCTGTGTATTTAAGGCAAAAATTGAGCAGCAATGTAAGCCAAAAAACAAAAATAGCTTTGACACATTCATTTCAAATTAATTTAGATAGTATGAGAAAAAATTAATTAGGACTTTAAAAATATGGGGGATGCCACAAGGGAAGTCAAGTTTTCCAGAAAGCAATTATATTAACTTGTTTTGGAATTGATTTAGTTGTCTTTTCCATGAATGAAGCTATTGGAGTTGTGTTTTATCCATGTATCCCTTTTAACATTTAAGTCACAGACATGCAAACAGAAAAAAAAGAGACATTAGCATAATCACACTTTGTATTTCAATCTTGCACATGCATGGCTTTAAATTTTGCAGTGATACTACAATTATATATATATTAATGATTCGGTTTAATTCTGCTGCCACACAAACTTGACCAATTAAATTTACTGAGTCAATTAAATTCTTTTGTTACAAAAGTATTCTGTAGTAAAATATACTACAGAATACTGTAGTACTACAGAATATAATACTACTGAATACTTTATGTATGACCAAAGTCATGCATAAAATAATGGCAGTAATTGCTGCAAAGCTGAATAAAGATCTACCAAACCATAAAGTGGGATTAGCTTCATACAAACAGTTCTTCCACTTTGACTAGATCTTTGGTTGATACATAATGCCAGTGGAGTCTATTTATTGCTGTGTACACTTGACTATAAACTTCATTATTATAGTAGCTGATTTTTGTTACACTGTATCTTGATGTATGGACTCAAAACTTTAAAAATATATATTATTTAGTCCGTTGACTAAATAATATATGCACTCTGTAAATTCCAGTGAAGCCGTTCTAAATTACACACCTTACAAAATATAGACCACAGCTGAACTTAAGAAAAGAGATTCGTTCTTTCACACTTTTTTTTTTTCTGAACAGTTATGATGACAGATACAGATCCAAAACAGGGTAAGTTAAACCTCTTAATGATTTGTGCAGTTTTTGATTACTTGCATGTTCTGCCAATATTACTGTCAAATTTCACTGAGTAAAACTTATCCCTGTCTGCTTGTTGCATGTGCAGAGCCTCAAGGAGGAGACGATCCACGCAGTCGTGCCCACACAAGTTTGGTGGTCGTGATGCTTATCGCCATCATCTCGACAATGACCATTGTCGCTTTCTTGATCTACAAGAGATCTCCTCGTCCCTTCCCCACCTTTGACAATCCATTGTACTTCAATGGCGAAAAATCTCAGCCTGATGTGGTCGACACCAATACATTGATCGAGAATGCTGAAGTATCCGATATCTCCCCAGAAAATCCAGAGCCCATTTTAATTCTGTGATTTAGGAGTTTCCAGAAGTTGAAGTTGTGCAAACTAGTCTGAGATAAATTTTTGTAAACACAGCTATGCTTCAGTATTTTGTTTTTATTGCAAACAATAAATATTCAGTAATTTAACAATAACTGTATTTGTTCTTTCTCTACCTATGACAGAATGTATATATAATTGCTACATGTTAAGCTCTTTTTCTACATGCTGTTTATTGCTTTTACTGTTTGAATGTAAAATGGAGGACACACCCTGTCAATGTTCAAAAAAGACATTAAACTGTTCATGATGATATACTGTTCATTTTTTTTAAATTACATTTCCATATTTGTTTAGGGTTAAACAATGTCAGCACTGTAATTATTGGTTTCTTTAAATGAATTCTGCATAATGATAAAGAAAGGAGGGAGAATGTTTCTTCCCACTGAAATCATGTTAGAGGAAGTCACAAAAACTTGGCATGTTTATATATGGCAGCTCTTTATTTAGTATGACACATTTTCATCAGAAAAGAAGACATTTTCTGTTAAATTCTGTCAAAGGAAATACCATTTAGACTGAATTTAGTGGCACTGCTTGTATGTTAAAAATGTAAAATGCATATCTTTAAAATACGTTAAGTGTATTTGTAATAAATGGATCCATAATATATGTTTCATGGACTGTACTCCAAGGTAGCAGAGTAGTGCTTAGTGCCAATATAAAGCAATAACTGTCTGTATAAGAACTACTACAGGCGAATGATACAAAACATTGGAAAAGTTTTAACTTTTGGTTAAAAGATAACACTGAATATTTGCTCCCCTGGATGTTTACAGTGAGTTTATTCCTCCGTTGAAAATAAATGTTCTTGAAAGTGTAAGGCAGTTTTACCTTTCTATTTAATTTTCCAAAATGTATGTTCAATGGCAGACAGTCGTCTCACTGTACAAATAATCAGAATAGACCAATCACATGGAAGCAATTCAAGGCATTAACAGAAAAGATTTGCTGAAGTTAAGTTCGAATATCAGAATGGGGAAGTAGTAGACAGTAAGATAAGTAGGAAATAAAGTGGCCTGTAATTTATAATGTTAGTTTGTGGATTAGGTTTAAAAGCGATGTCTGAACTGTTTGGTCTTGTCTCAACACAAACACAAGCGCT